CAATTTAATTTATGTTACAGACGGTCGAATATATACATATATATATATATATATATATATATATATATATATATATAGTATATAGTTTAGATACGTTGGCCTCAATACGTTATACTTTAAACATATCTTCGATTGTTGTAAATGAATATCATGTCTCGGTGGTCGAGCTGGTTAAAGACACCCGCCCCAGAAAATCGAGAAGTCCCAGGTTCAAATTCTAGCTGAGGTAATATTTTTCGCAACAAATAATTATTAGCATATAATCGCGGGGAAGGGGAATTTTATTAGATGCTGATGAGCATCAGTATTTATTAAATTGATTATCAATTTAATAACGTGATAATACAGTTCTATTTCAAACAATAGACTGCATTGAATCCGAAAATAACGGTACGCGGTTTGTTGAAGCTAGAATATGTAAAATCAATATTAGAAGCACCAAGATCCTGCCATATGACCGGTATTGGCCTACTCTCAATTAAATTTTGTTAAAATATACTTTTTCTTAAGAAAAACTTTAAAGTAGATTACACCCAAAAAAAAGTTCTACTTATAAGCGGGAAATTCCTTTAAGCATTTCCTCTAAACAAAAAAATTTTACGTAAAACATATTCCTCAGCTATAACGCGTATTTATCTATAAAGAAGCACATGCGCTATAATCAAAAATAAATTCTCATAGTAATTCGATATTCCCCTACATTTTAGAATATCTTCTTGAGCCGTATATAAGAGGAAAATCTTTTAGCATCAAGAAGATATTGGTAAAAGATAGAATTTTTTTTTTTGGGTGTATATATTATTAGATGTCTTTGTAATTAAAAATTGAATTAAAATAAATAATCAGAATTTGTTATTCTCACTTATTTAATTCTTATTTGTACAATTGTGTTATTTAATGCTTTGTCATGAAAATTATGACATTACACGAGATACATTCTAGATAAGAAACATTTTGGTAACTTTCGATTGTTCTAATAATGTTATTTTATTAATTCATAAAGAATAAACTTTAGATTATAAATAAATTCAATAACAGAGCACGTCAGCCTCGCAAGGTGTCTGTGTGTAAACCAATTTATATAAGTATTATATGATAATACTCGTACAATATATATGTTACATGAGCGAACGTTTCGACTTTTCGTTTAGGTCATCTTCAGCGCAAATAAATAACTGAAAAATAATTACGAAAGATGGAAGATTTATATCGCAAAACTCAGAAATGAGTACTCGGATGATAAGGTTTTTAATCCGAAAAAAGGCCACCAATCGCAAAGGGAAGAGAATTGGTTCATAATGCATTATTTTATAATTTGTAAAATGAAACTAGTATTTTATGGAAAGTATAACTGCACATCGCTCTCGTAGATCGAACAATTCGAATCAATCGATGCAATTCTCTTGTGCCAGTTCCGTGTAATTTATAAAAGAACAGGCAAGCGTTATTTCGCGAATTAAAGCATCCCTTGAACAATTTACGTTATAACTTTCTGACGAGTTTAATCTGTTTTCGTGGTTCGCACGTTAACACATCTTTCATCACTCCGAGAGCTTATAATCTTGGATGCTTTTATCACGCGTTAATTTCGAAATTTACGAAAATTCCTTTATCTCTCCGCGCTATGTGTACATACATGTTCGAACGTATACGTGCTGGTAGAGTCATAACTTTTCGCAATAAGCGACGTTACGGTTGCCATAACAGCGAAACTGCACGATCAGTGCACTGAATCAACCGTACGATATTATGACGAAACTGGGATCGCGCGGCAACTTGGCGACGTTAAAGACAGAAACGGAAGTTCTTAACGAACGTTGTAATAATGATACCGGAATTTATGAGTTCGCTTCGGCCAGCGCTGCTACGAACTTTCTGACTGATTTAGGTAACCGGGATAGCTAATCAAAATTCACCATGTATACAAAATTGAAAAACTTTTATATAAAAAAAATCAAAACGCCAATTTTAATTATATTTTTAAGTTAAACAAATATCTATATTGTGTTAATATCTCTATATCTTGAAAATATCTTACATAATATAAAGTGAATACCACATACATTTATGTATTGATGAATAAAGAATTAGTCAATAATATTTTCTTGCCTGTTTTCTTGCATATAAATATAATTATATTTATATATGCATAAGTTATAAATTTTTAATACAAAAAATATGCATTTTAAAAATTAACGTTAAATCTAGTGATTGATTTATCAAATCGTATTAAGACGTTTACATAAGATATTACACGGGAAGAACGATTTTGGTGGATACAGATATGAAAATAATTCATGTTGGACCATCAAAATAATTTTGTTGGAAAGTCAAACTGATTGCTAGAATATCAAAACGTTTTACAGTAATGCTTATCATTTTTTATTTTCCAAAAAATTATTTTGATGGTCTAACGAGAATTATTTCCAAATCTGTATTCACAAATTTTTAAACCTTTCAGCAAAATCGTTCTTTTTATGTATAAATTCTTATATTACGGAAAATATCCTTTCTTATTCACACTTTCGAAATATCACACGGTTTTACATATAAAATATTTGTTTATAAATGGACATGCTTTATTTGCAAAGTTTTTTTTATGAAAATGGACTTGCTTTAATTTTTAATAAAAGTAGTAGGTTTTGTAACAGTAGAATTATACCATGAATAATATCTGCACATTATTTTAAAGCACAATAGAACACAGAAAGAACAATTTTGCTGAATCCAGATTTGAAAATAATTTTTGTTCAATAGTCAAAATTATTTTGTTCGAAAGTCAAAATGATTGCTAAAATATCAAAACGTTTTATAGCAATACTTATCAGTTTTAACATTCCAACAAATTATTTTAATAATTCAATAAAAAATTATTTTCAGATCTGTTTTTAGCAAAATTTTTAGGTCTTTCAACAAAATTGTTCTTTCCTAAAAGCTACGTAGAAATTACATTTAAAAGTTTATAAATAAATTATAGTAGCCGAGATTAAAAAAATCCAATAATCCGAACTATCTAAAAGGTTCATATATCTTTGAAATCTTTGACACTTTTCCGAGGCTCCCAGCAATGATCTCGCCGGATTACGCCCGATTCGGAAACTGACTTTGATCACCCCCACGTTCGTTACCAAAGGATTTGTACTTGGTAAAAGTTATACTTGAATTACGCGGAATGATTTCTAAGGACACGCGAACCCACGGCTGCCTCTGACAACGTCGTTATCGGTAACAATTCCAATTTACCGGTGCCATTTGGCCCGCTCGATATCGATCGAACGACCCCTCAACCCCTCGTTCCTCCCACGAACTTCTCCTTAGAAGTCGTTTTAAATTGAAAAACCGGAGTATGCGGGGCCCAAAAGACAAAGAGGCGAGCGAACGAGCGAGCACCGCGGTACCGCCGATTTGTGGATCCGACTTTCCATTAGCGAAATAGCATTTTCTCCTTCAGTCGGTCGGTCGGTCAGTCTAGTCGGTGGGTCGATCGCCACTTTCAGGCACCCCTTCTCGCACTTGTACTTATCCCATGCAGCCGGCAGTGTTCAAAAATCAGAAATCTAAAGCCGGGAATGTAATTTGTTTTCAACAATCGATGCGCAAAGAGATTATGTCACCGTCTCTCTCAGCGCCGTTATTATTTATAACAATTCTCTTTTTCCGAAATTTGCCGACAATCTCGTGGGAATCTAGAAAGATTATATTATATGTCAACCTTCCGGCTCGAAATAAGACACGGATTATGCGGCACAAATAAATTATAAATAAGACGCTGTCAAAAGTGATATAAACCGGAATGATATGGAATTTATCAGTCTAAATCAGATAATTCCTATTTCATTTTTCCATATATTGGAATAATTTTTGAAATATTCTGATAAGCTAAAAATCGAATAATAAAAAATTAAAGACGCAGTAAATTTTTGACAACTTTTATATACATTGATAATAAAAGATTTAATTATACTTAATCCAATCTTTTATTCTATTAGTATTACTATTAATATAGGAGATATACTTTATGCTTATGTCGAAATTTAATTGTAATGAATAAATGTTGAAATTATTAAGTGTGCCGCGTCTATCTCATTGCGATGTTAATGACATCAATTAGTAGTTCGTTTTTATTCAAGATTCCAGATTTTAGGATTTTCTCAATTAATTTCTAATTATATGATAATAATTGTAACTATAATAACATAAACTGTCAATGTAATACTATTAACATAAAGCCGAACAGATGCACTGCTCAAAGGATTAATTAAATGCTACTACAGAGACCAGGGACAAAAGTAGTATGAATTTTGCGTTATTAATTATACAAATATAATATATTGCATAAATTTACAAGGGATATATTGTTTAATTACAGAGAATGCGTAAACTAAATTTTTAACAAATTATCAAATGCAACTGCATATTCTACATGTTTCTACAGAATAACGATTTCAAAATTTATGATCATGTTTTGTGTATTTGAAATTCTCTGACAAATTTGTAATCGAAATTGTCTTAAAAATATAATCAGTAAGCGCATGTTCTGTTGCATTTGTATAATATTCAAGATTAATTAATTTTGTAATCTGATTTTACATTAAGATGTTTTTTAGATAGAAACTATCTCAAATTTAATGATAAATAATGTCACTTTAATATTCATACGATTTAATATCCGGCAGAGTCTTTAGTTGAATTAACGCAAGGATTTGTTGAATTCATATTGAACTAAATTAGCTAAACAATTATAAAGTTAAAAACGTTTATGTCTCAATAAATTTCTTAAGAGAACCTCAATTCTAGATTAGTCAGAAATTTTCATCTAAAGCATGGATTTCGATCATCGAAATTTGAGCTAAACTTCACACGTACCATATTTATCAACTTAATTAAAAGCGGAATTAAAACAGAAATATAATAATAGCCAAAATAATTCTGCAGTATTCTTCCCGGCCTCTGAAAAAATTCATCCGCTGGAATAAAACGCGAAAATATCTCTTACTCACCTAACTGCTCTTAGTCTGGTAGAGATGCTCGAGGTCCTTCATTTCGCCGTGACAAATCCGCGAACAAAGTCGGAGTTATTTGTTCGTGTGTTCACATTACACAACTGTGGACGCACTGAAGGTTCCGAAATAATTAAAAATCACCGACTGGAAAATGTCGTTCCCCTCGCACCACTTAATTCCGAAACACACTCGCACGCGCGACGTCTGATTTAGTTTCTCGCCGTTGAGACGCCGCCTCGCGACTACATGATCGATGTGGACCTTCGACGAATCGATGTACCGTCCCGATTAAATCAAAGGACTGAAATCAAAGCAGGGAAAGGATAACGAACTCTCTCGTAATATTCTTACGCCGAGATTAATTCGAGTATTCGCAATTACATTCCAATTGGTCCCGATTCCCTCTGCGTGAGAAACAATCAACGTTTTCCGGGCACAATAACGAAATTTATGTCAGTCGCAGTTCCCTTGCGATTCTCGTTGCACACCCTTTGTAAGTTAATTACACGTCGAGGTCTCGATATCGTATAATATCACCCGCACACAACTCAGCCTTTCGATTTTTCCGCTTTCAGCACGATATCGCGTCACCCGATCTTTGTCCGACGCGTCCACTCGATACGCCGATCACACAATTCTTGTCCCTCGAAGGACTTCCATTCAAATCGCCGATTCTATTTCCACGACCAGAGAAACACCCGCTCCGAAACCGTGCGCGCCGAGGATCGGGCGGTGACTGAAAGCGTCGCGCGGTCTCGCGCCCTGCATTTCTGTCCTACTCCACTCTGACTCTCGCTCCCTCCCTCACGCTCTCCCTCGCTCTCTCTGGCGCGAGACTCCGCTCTCTTCACGGCGCACGTTCTCTACTTCTCTCGCTCGCGCTTACGGGATAAGGAAGAATGTTCCCCGCAGCTTCTCTCTATCCACTATTTCATCCCCGTGCAGATTCAACCTTCCTCGCTTTTTCCTTTCCCTCTCTCTCTCCTCTCTCTCTCTCTCTCTTTCTCATTCTCTCTTGCTTCTTCATTATTTTATCGTCCTTGTCTTACGCATACATCGTTCGTTTCGTTTCATCTCGCGAAATAACTCTGCCCTCATCCTTGTCTTTCCCTTACTCGCGCGGCATCCCATACGCACGTATCCACCCTCTTGCTCATACCTTTGTCTCATCCCTTCGCGTCCGGTGCACGCGCGAGCATCCAACGTAGAGTGCCACGCCTACCCCTTCTGTGTACGTGTCATTGATGCGAGAGGGAAACTTAGCTTAGTCCCAAGCTTCCGCGACGAACCGGCTTTTTCGTTCAGCGAGTAAGTTTCGTCGAGTTACAACCATGATTATGCACAAACGGAATATAACACATTACAAATAATTCTTTACAAAAAGAACTCATAAATCTTATTAAATGTAATTACGTATATACGTATTGTTGGTGAAAATCAAAGAATTTATGCGGAAATTAAGAAATGAAGGCCAAAAGTAGAAAACTGCAAGTTTGTGATTCAGAATTGAGATTTTATAGCTTACAAGTTTAAAGTCGTATTGCACAATATTTCAGAACTGTGAAATATCAGGATTTATATGCTGAGAAATTTACAATCAAGATTACATTTAAATTTTAAATTAGTATAATAAGCGTATGCTAATTGTTATTATCCCGAATGTACCTCCTTACAATATTTCCCTGTATTTGTGCAGGCTAACATTCTTTGCCTCAATCTTGACATAGTTTATGAAAGCAAGAATAGTATTTCAATTTTTCTTTTATAAAGTTTTATAAAGTGACATAGAGGATCTATCACTGTCATTTATTCGAATGCGGAAATTTTAGAAGAAAATCAGATTACTTTAATTTTAATTTGTAAATCTTTTGCAATTTTTTATTTATTATGGAATAGAATAAGTATAACATAATTTTGTTATTAAATATTTGAAGTATTTGTTACATTTCTGCATGTATAAAATTTTAAATAAATAAAAATTTAACATAAAATAAAATGTTGTTTAATTAATGAGTAATGCACAAACACGAACTATATGCTTGGATATATCTAATTTTTTATTATTTATTTATATTATAAATATTTAATTATACAATACAATGTACCAATGTGACAAATAAACTTTCAACAAATATGTATTTATAAAACATCTTCACGAAAAGAATGAGTTACAGGAAGATCTAAAAATTTTGCTGGATGCAGATCAGTGAAAATAATTTTGAGAGATCATTAAAAGAATTTTATCAGAAATTCAAACTGGCTGCTAGAATATCAAAACGTTTTATAACAGTGCTTATCATTTTTGAGTTTTCAACAAAATTATTTGATGGTCCAATAAAATTATTTTTAGATCTGTTTCTAGCAAAATTTTAAGACTTTCTAACAAAATCATTCTTTTCGTGTATTTTTTTAATACTAAATCCAGCTTAATAATACTTCGTATCATACTTATTTAATCAAAATAACAAGAAAAAAATATAATAATATAATAAAAATATAATAAATTTTATAATATTTGAAAACATAAAAATTATCAACACACTTAGAAATAAATCTGTACAAGCAGCAATCTTATTTAAGAAAATTTTAAAATTATTTAAAAAAATTTTTAATTCATTCTTTGATTATATTATTTCTACTACAAAATTTGCAGTTTCAAAGCCTTTTAATAAATATGAATATTAAAATATTAAAAAGTGAATGTCAAAAAGTGTAAATATTAACACTCAAATGAATTTTTTGACAAAGGAAAGTTCAATACAAAGATTACTTAGAGAATGAATTCCAGCTACTATATACTATTCGCGATATCCTGTATATTAAATAGTCGTCGACGTGGTGTGACACTACCATTCATAAATGCCATTTAAAATCAATTTTTCGGCATCTACACGTCGACACTTTCGCTTCCGGTCGATACTGCACACTAAAAATAGAGAAAAGGATTGAGGGGATGGATTTCTGAAAATTCTATCGATATGCGTCAGCATCACGAGAAGAATGCAATGGAATGCGATTACATTCTTGTATAAAAGGAACAAGATAAAATAAAATTTATGTATAAGAAATTTAAGGGAAAATTTGTTACTATATTATTCTACAATTTATATTAATTGTAGAACTAATATAATTATCTTATGTGTCGAATATTTGAATATCAAGAAAATTTCTTATATCTTATGAAGATACAATTAAAATAAAAACATTCCTTCTCTGAGAAGAGTGACATAATATACACATAAGTTTATCATTTTTTTTAAATGTATTTTTTGTATAGAAGATTTCTTGAGATGATTGAAACGTTTAAAATTAATAGTTCCTTGTTTTATATAAAAAGCCTCTCTTTTTCCTTTCGTATTATAAATCCGTCAGTAATTTATTTAAAATTCTGAAATAATAATAAGTAATATACTATCAGATTGGTTGTGACTTAATTATATTCAATATACATCCATATTTTGCATCAAAGAACTCTTTTTAGAAAAAGAGTTATTCATATTTATGACAATATAAGGATTTTAAAGAACAAAATAACTTAATGCGTTTAAAAAAAAATTGAAAGAATTATAAATGTTGAAAGATAGTAAAGAAATATACAATCTAGTTATATTAATTTCGAAAATATTGTATTACCAATGACAGATGCTGCAAAAGTGTATAGCTAAAACTAATACAAAACTGATAGATACTTTTACTTCAGTGAAATCATTCTTTTTAAATTTTCGAACTTGGAAGAAAAATTCTGCTGGCATTCATATCAGCGAATAGTATACTCGTGAACCCGTAGGATGCATAAATCAGACGCGGGTGTCTGCGTAGGGCGAAGCCGCGTGCCAACTACGGTCGACCGTGAGCGATGACGTAACGCACAGCCCTTCGAGGGACGCGACTGCAGCTGAGCAACATCTCAATGGTGCAACCCCTAGTTGGGGTAGGTCAATACGCGGGTGGGTAAGATACATTGGGGTCGCGATGGAACGCGTCGATCAGACCGGCTTTCCAACCGTTTTTGTTTCAATTACTTCCATGTAATCAGGGATGTGTAACATTCTAAGGACTTGATTCGAGATCACGGCTATCTCTGAACGCATATTTCAATGAATAATAAACGTCTTTCGATATCGGCGGAACACGTGACAATTTAATTAAACTAAAAATATATAGAACTAAAGTATAAATATTAAATTTAAAAATTTGAAACTTTTGTTTAATATTTATTATCTTTGTTACCATTAAAAATATATTTGTGCTGCTTCTTTTATTTGTACCGCCGAATAATTTTGCTTCTAGCACTTAAATAAAGAAAAATATAAGATTAAAAAGATTATCTTGTTCGCAAATATTACGAACAAATAAATCTTGCTTTTCGTAAAGTTACTTTAGCAAGATCAAAATGCTCTTTTTAATAATATTATTGATATTCTATGATATCTATTATTAATATTATTAATAATTTTATATAGAAATATAATTTTCTCGATAACACAATTAACATAAAAAAGTACGAATAAAAAAATTCCTCTATTAGTGAAATGAAGCAGAGGAAGTAGTAAAAGTAAAGATTTATCAGACATACATGATCACTAAATATTGCCACGAAAAACAACACATAAACTATAATTAAATTTATTTTTAATATATATATATTGATAATTTTATATAAAAATATAATTTTCTCGATAACACAATTAACATAAAAAAAGTACGAATAAAAAAATTCCTCTATTAGTGAAATAAAGCAGAGGAAGTAGTAAAAGCAAAGATTTGTCAGACATACATGATCACTAAATATTGCCACGAAAAACAACACATAATCTGTAATTAAATTTATTTTTAATATATATTAATATATATGTTGTTACGTTTGTATATATTAATATATATATATTTTTTTTCTCGATAACACAATTAACATAAAAAAGTACAAATAAAAAAATTCCTCTACTAGTGAAATGAAGCAGAGGAAGTAGTAAAAGCAAAGATTTGTCAGACATACATGATCACTAAATATTGCCATGAAAAACAACACATAAACTATAATTAAACTTATTTTTAATATATATTAATATATATATATTGTTACGTTCGGGGATCATTTTTTATTACTCATACTCGCAACCGAGTGAAATGAATCCGTAGGAAATGAATGTGACACTTGACAAAAAGCAACTTTCTATATTATGGGTGCTTTTTGTTTAATGATACAAGTCGACACAAATGTCATTCTATCCTTTTTGTTATTCAATGAACAACAAAGATGCAATGATACTTGTGTTGGCTTGTATCACTAAATGGAAAGCACTCTATATCATGATACCAACAAAAGAGATCGTTTATACAGAGCAGATCAGAGCAGATCACGTTCGAATGAAACGACGCCTCATCTTCAAATTTAATGGCGACCGCACATGACATGATGCATCTGAGTTATTTGACAATGCACGGTTCGTTATCCAAGAAACATTCTTCTTATCTTCTTTTCGTCAACATTCCGATTCGACCCATTCGAGATCAACTCGGCGCGAGCATAATAAGACATAGGCGCAGACGCTGCAGGCATAATAAGACACATATGTATATACACGGTATATCTTTTTAAATATTTTATTGATAGAGTGAGAGAGAAAGAGAGAATAAGTATATTCCGTTTATTTTATCAATGAGTTGCGGTATTTAAATTAAGGGGGAACACCACTGTGACGGCCGAAAAAAAAGGCTATTTTCG